AAATGAGTCAAAGCGTTTTCACAACCTTGTCGCCAACTGCGTTGCCTTACGAACTCACAATGGTCAGCTCTTCAGTTGGCTCTATTAGCTTAAAGGATAAAGGGATAGAGTTTCGCTTGAAGATCAGGACATTCCTTATTTTCAAGTCGCAACCTGTCAAACATGACTGCGAGCTGTAATTCAGTGTTTGCTACTGCACCATGCTGGCGACATCGGTCGAGAAAGGAACGACCGCGCAGCTTCAGATCAGGGGGGATTGAGATCTCGAACTAAAATACCGGAAATTGTCGCCTGTAAGCCCTGGGCTTGTGCATCTTTATAAGGGGTTTTAGCAGGGTTTATAAACGGAGGGGCTTATATCCGAGGCCGGGCGCTTATACCCGGGCTAGAAAAAGCCCCTTGAAACAAGCTATAGGGCAGTGCGTTTTGCATTTACTGGTTTTTAATTAGGCCTCAAAAGGTCAAAATAAAAAGAATTCATTTCAATACAAGCTAGAGGGGGCTTATAATGGGATGTATTTTTGTTTACAGTGGGTGTTTCCTATAACTGAGGGAAGTGCTTAAACGCGGCAGTTTACGTCATTAGGATTTTTGCGTACATTTCTCAGCCAACAACCACTTGATTAATCGTATTAGCCATAGATGTAATATCTGACTGCTTCCTTCTAGCGGACTGATGGCGGAATTACACTGAACGGAATAGGTCAGAAATTTGCATTAGTATAAACTTTACATGCCAAATGCAAACAGTAACGATAATTAAGTAGATAAATGAAGATATATTATTTAAAGTATAGTGGTCCTGGTATTTGCTGGTACAACAGTAGCCAAAGCGAAAGAGTAAAAAGTTGATAAAGTGGTTGCATGACTGTAGTGCCAAAACTAAAAGCAGTACTGCACACTGTTATGAAGTAGATGAGCGGACGAGATTCAAGTCCGGGTAGGACCTGCGAGTAACCACAACGAAAATTAACCTCGCCGAAACATACAAGCAAAGTTTCATTGCTGGAATACTGACAACAGAATTTAGTGGTTCTTTCACACGGTAATATTTCTTTTCCAATAACAAACAAAAATGCAATTTCAAATATTTCCTTTGGCACTGCGAATAAGAGGGTCAAGCATTTGCTGTTCCAACCATTTGGCTCAGTTCTTCTTCAGGAGGTTCTTTGTCCACAGTTTCAAGAGTCGGTTGAAGTTTTGTTTCCGGGAGAGTCATACAAAGTATACCCGCAAGCAAAGCATTGATTCCCATGATAGCGAATGGCAGCAACTGATGAACACGATTCTACAAAGACAAATTACACACACGTCAGGTAACAATGGAATGATTTATCATCCTAGCAGATATGGAGGGTTTGAAAATAGCAGTGAATGATTTGGAATTTTGACTCACCATCCTCACTGGATAGTTCAAACAAAACCTAGTTTTACTCAGAATTACCTCTTTTATATTTAAATGGTGCCTACAAAGTTTTCCTAACTCTTAATTTTCTCTCACGCAGAATAATACTATGATTTTTCTCATTTCACAACAAAGAGCTTAAAAATATTATCATCAAACAATCCCAAATGGTCCTAAAAGTATGGGGGTGCGTACGTATAAGCCGAGTTAATGCCCCAGGAATGGAGCGCCCTACTGGTAATCATAGCATTATTAAATACACATTAAATTACTTACAGTATACACAATGAAAGGAGAACAGAGCGAGCCAATGCGTGCAGCAGCTGAGGATGTTCCAACACCAATGTTTCTGTAGTCAAATGTTATAAATATTATTACTTATTATTACTTTTAAATACCCATTCCTAAAGCTTTTTCAGTATAAAATTTTCAACTGGCCGCAAAGCTTTTTCAAAATCTCGATCGGTACAGGTTTTGCTTAAAAATTCATTGGCGCATACTTAGAGTTTCGTGAAACGTTTCGTTGCCCTAATGTTGCCCTCGTTTTTTTTCGTAAACCGTACATCGGTCAAGGGAAACTTATACTTTGCTAAAGAAAAGCCATCTAGTCCTTGACAATACTTCAATTTAGCTTAAAGAAAAAAAATATTTTACTACCTTTGAGAACCTCCCATAATATTCCATTCAACTCACCAACCACCACCACTAACCCCTACAAACTGAATAAAGTGCTATAGTAATTGCTTGTAAAATACTAATAAAAACCATTAAACGAATGCTTATTCGAAGTTATCGCATGCTCGCGCCTTGTAACAGACCTTTTTGTTAACAAAAAAAATGATTAAATGCAGATATCACATCTGGATTCAGAAACTATCGTCCGATCGACGTGTTCTTGTTGTGCGTGTGTACTGTCGCACTTTGTAATAATCGTCGCACTTTGTAATACCTGTCGCACTTTGTAATAAAATTGTCACACTTTGTAATAAAATTGTCACACTTTGTAATACCTGTCGCACTTTGTAATAACCCTTGTCGCACTTTGTAATAAAAAAGCTGTCGCACTTTGTAATAACAGACCATCGCACTTTGTAA